TCTTTACCAAGTAGGATCTGCGTGTGGGCTTATAACCTGCTAACGATTTGCGAGGGGGATGAATGGAAGACCGCTTTTCGCAGCAGGTTTGGGGATTTTCAGTATCTGGTAATACCTTTTGGAATTTGTAATGCCCTGGCCACTTTCCAGCATTTTGTTCATTATATCTTTTGGGATTTCATTGACACCTTCATGACATTCTGATTTTTTTCTGCTTCCCTGGAGGAGCACCAAGGTCATGTACGGAAAATGCTGGGCCACCTCTGCACCTATGAACTGTACACTAAGCCAGAGAAGTGTGAGTATGAGAGGACAGCAATGCAATTCCTGGGCCTAATCCTTTCCCCTGGATGGTATCGCCATGTTCCTTTAAAAAAGTATCTGCGGTGATGGGGATTATCCACTTCTTCTCGCAACCGAACCCTCGCAAGTTGACGAGAGAGGAAAAGCCCTACTACCTTCTGCTACCTCTATTCAAGGGAAGATACCACCTCTCCAGGTACCCCCACCACCCACCTTCTAGACGGACCTCCCGGAATTACCGAACTCATCCTCGCACCACTGTGCCTTCCGCTTCACACCTCAGATCACCTTGCAACACCCTGAAAGCCGAGAGACGACTCCTCACCTTTACCATCCGAATTATTTCAGGAAATCTTGGACCCCCATTTCAGGTCTGAATTTCTTTTTGCCCCCCTTATATCTCTTCAGTTTAATTTGGGTATGCTCACATACATTGACTTATAATACTGCCTTTTTATGGACAGCAGAAGGATTTTACTTGCAGGCCACTCAGACTCAGTCGGGGTCCCGTTCTCCTAGGTCTTCCTCTCTATTAACTATCCTGTATGATGGCCAGGGTCCCCCCGGGCATCCGCACATCTTGCCTTCACACTAGCCTTACTCCACATTGGGCAATAATACTTTTCCACGGTATCCGCAGCTCTAGGCCCCAAACTCTAGATATATGAGAACTGAGTGGATGGCGGATATGCTCCAGCATAGCGACCCCTCTAACCCCCTTTCCCATGTTCCCTCTTGGATTCCTATACCCTAATGCATAGGATCCTCTTTATAAAGTTAATTTATGCAACAGTTTGCCTAAGATCCCAGTTAAGAGTTTACCTTAGTTAAATGTTACCTAAATATGGGTGGGCATGTCACTGTGCCCTCCTAAGTACGGTTACCTTGAGTGGACTGAGATCCATGGGATCCCCCCACTCAACGTCCCCGACATACCGTGGATTTGCACCATGCTTTTGTTATGTATATCTGATGCCCTTTGTCTTGTTTTGTTTTCTCCTTCCCCCCTCTTCTCTTTTCTCCTCCTTGCCTCAGCCTCCTCTCTGGACCGTGCGATGTTGGAGCGACACTTTTCATCACTCTCCCTTCAATCCTGGATGGGTGAGTACTTTAAGATACCTCGCAATACATTTTGTCATGACTCTTAACTTGCTGAGTCTTAATGTGCACGGACGTAACTCCCCTAATAAATGCACCCGAGCTTTCAGGTTCTTTAGATCCACGCATGCTAATATTATATTTCTCCAGGAGACTCACTTCTCGAGAACTTCCTGCCCCAAGTATTTTAGCTCCCAATTTCCCAACATTTATATGGCCAACGACTCCTGTAAAAGGTAGGGAGTCCTCATTGGATTCCGCAGATCAGTGAACTTTGTCTGCCATTCGGAGACCAAAGATCTATTGGGGCGCTACTTAATCCTCACGGGTTTGTTAGAAGATAAGGAGCTCACCCTAGTGTCTTACTACGCTCCCAATACAAACCAACTTATCTTCTTCAGGGATCTCCTCGAAAAAGTAGCCTCATGCTCCACGGGAGCAGTCATAATGTGTGGAGACTCAAACCTTGTGTTATATCCTCACCAAGATAAATCCAATATATCTGCTGCATCCTTGCACACAGCAAAATTGTTCAGAGACTTACTCTCATCCTACTCATTGATAGATAGTTGGAGAGAGGTTAACCCCCACAAGATTGATTATTCCCATTATTCATGCCCGCACAATGTGTTTTCCAGAATAGTTCACATCCTCACTAACGCCTTCCTAATGCCCCACATCCTTCACTCCCACCTCATCCCGGTGCTGTGGTCTGACCACTCTGCCGTCACTCTACTACTTCCATCATCACTCCCTAACACCAAAGCCACTTCTTGGACCGTCAACGAATCCCTACTGTCTGACCCTTCCACCAAATTCCTGATTGAAACGTACATATCTGATTACTTATCCCTCAACCAGACACCAGACATTTCTCCAGTCACTTTGTGGGAAGCACACAAGCCTGTCATCAGGGGACAGCTTATTCAACTGTCCTCTAGACTCAAAAAAGAAAGACTCCAACAATTGACCACTCTAGAACTTGCATTCAACACTCACTCCCAGGCCTTCTCCGCGGACCCCTCCTCTACTAATAGGGCAAATCTGGAAACAGCTCGCCAAGCCCTCAACCTACTACTAACTGACCATGCTGCTAAACAGCTCAACCGCACTGCCCATAAATTCTACCTGAAAGCAAATACAGCTGACTCCATGCTAGCTACTAGGCTTAGGAGACTAGACCTCTCCTTCAAACCTCTTAAACTACGTACTCACACGGGGACACACACTTCAAACCCTGTGAAAATTCTAGATATCTTCCATCGACACCTTTCCACCCTGTACACATCCCAAAACCAATTTTCCATTTCTGCGGTGACAGAGTTCTTCTCGGACCTGGATTTACCCCGTCTTTCATCATCTCAGATGGCCTCCTTTGAGGAACCTATTACAGAGGAAGAAGTCGCTCTGGCAATTTCTTCACTGTCCAGGGGTAAAAGACCAGGCCCGGACGGATTCACCGCGGCCTATTACGCTGACTTTAAGGATCTCCTCACACCTCCCCTAACCAGCTCTTTCAACTCCCTTTGCAGTGGGATCCCCTTGGACAAGAGTCTCTTACCGCCTCAATCTGCATGATACACAAACCAGCCTCTGACCATTCCAATCCCTCAAACTTCAGGCCAATTTCCCTCATTAATGTGGATGTTAAGTTACTGGCCAAAGTACTAGCCAATAGAATGAACCAGGTGATAGGTCAACTGGTCAGTAATGACCAGGTAGGTTTTTTACCCACCAGGCAGGCTAGCGATAACATCAGTAGAGTAACTCTCCTCACCCACATAGCAAAGAACAAACAAATCCCTGCTATGCTCCTCTCATTAGACATTAGGAAGGCATTTGATTCAGTCTCTTGGCCTTACCTATTTTATACGTTGCGACAGTGGGGATTTGGCCCCCACTTTCGCAACTGGATATCCTCCCTTTACAAAAACCCTACAGCCCACATAAAGTACTCAGGACATCGCTCCCAACCACTTCAGATTTCGAGGGGCACAAGACAAGGCTGTCCTCTATCGCCCCTATTATTTGCCCTGATCTTGGAACCATTAGCTCAGAAACTCCGTACCTACCCAAACATTTCTGGAATTCCCTATGCAGGTGTGTCACATAAAATCTGTATGTTTGCAGATGATGCTTTAATCCTTATAACCAACCCTTTAGTGTCTCTACCCAACCTTACAAAACTTCTCTCAGACTTCTCTTCTATCTCAGGTGTGCACACTAACGATTCTAAATCTTTAGCCCTGAATTTATCACTACCCTCCAACCTCATGAAGTCCCTACAACAAAACTACTCCTGGTGCCCTTCCCACCTCCCATACCTGGGAATCAAACTAACCCCGTCCCATCAGTCCTTATACAAAGCAAACTACCCAGATATGGTGAATAAACTATCACAAATGTTGAGAACCTGGGCGAACTACCGCCTCTCCTGGTTGGGTAGGATAGCTGCCGTCAAGATGACATTTCTGCCAAAAATCCTCTACCTTTTTAGGGTTCTACGGGTGTGTGTACCGGCCACTATACTCCACAGACTTCAGTCACACATTTTCTCCTTCATTTGGGGAGATCGTCGACCCAGAATTCCCCGACGTACGCTCTATCTTCCAAAATCCCAGGGGGGACTAGCAGTTCCGAATCTGTTCAAATACTACCAAGCAGCGCAAATAGGCCAACTTTCTAAATGTCATGCGAACTATGAGTCCCCAGCCTGGGTGGCTCTAGAAGATGCGATGACAAGTCCAATGACGGTAGCCAACCTCCTTTGGCTACCCCCCAGAAACCGTTCCCTTATTTCTAATCCCATCACTTCCCACTCCCTTAAAATCTGGGATTCGGTAAAAACAACATTATGGCCTGATTTCCCCACATAAACCCCTCATGTCCATACTGAGTAACCCCCCCTTCCCCTCCAGCTCTCAACAGCCCCTCTAACTTCAATGAATGGTCCTCACGCAACCTCTCCTCCTTTTGGCAGATGCAATCCACCTCAGGAATTAAGTCTTTCCCATATTTACAAGAACACTACCTAATGCCCAACAAAGAAATCTTTCTCTACCTCCAGATCAAACACTTTATTACAAAACATGTCAACAATCAAGTCAGAGCCACTACACTCTCACCATTCGAACAAGTCTGTCGCGATAACCCCCATGGCCTGGGACTTATCTCCCTTCTCTATACACCCCTACTGTCTCTTCAGGGTGACCCTCCCCCACCCTGTGTCTAAATGGAATATCGACCTGGGAGATGTCATGGATGATGAATCCTGGCATCAGTCTTGGCAGAACACCAAATCCAGTTTGCGGTGTGCAAGTATGTTGGAGATAAACTACAAAGTCCTCATGCGCTGGTACTTGGTACCAGCCAGCGTGGCCACTTACAACTCTCACTGCTCACCTAATTGTTTCCGAGGATGCCCTGGCCTAGGTAAATTTTTACACACATGGTGGCAATGTCCGATAGTCTCGAACTTCTGGGATGAAGTTTTCACCCTCATGGACTCGCTGATTTCAGAGACTAAGGATCCGGTTTTTGCCCTACTAAATTGCAAACCAGAAGATCTCCCTAATAAGGTCTTTAGAATATCCCTCCACATCCTCTCTTCTGCTAAGAGAGAGATTGCACTAAACTGGCTCCCGAAGTCTCTTAATATTTCGCATGTGATTACACATATTCATTGGATCATGGCCCAAGAAAAACGCACTGCACAACTTGAGAACTCTATGCACAAATTCGAAGCTATCTGGTCCCCGTGGATCGATACATTCTTTAATTCTAATGTCTCCCGACGTCTATGTCACATCTGATGCCCCCCCATAGCCTTTCTATTGAGTGCCTCCTCCACCAAACGATACGGTCCAGAACCCTCTTCTTCTCCTTCTCTCTTCTTCTTCCACTGTCTCCTTTGTATCTTGTTTTGTTCCCCTATGTCCCCCCATGTCTTGTTTAATTTATTGTTGCCTGTATCACTACTTTACCTTACCAAGATCTTGACTTATATGACCACTATTATTATTAAATAGTATTTATATAGCGCCAACAGTTTGCGCAGCGCTTTACAATACCTTTACCACTACTGCACAAGGTAAAGGTGAAGCACATTTCTACCACTCTACACCGCTCAGTATAAGGTCATGATAGGTTACTATGAGAATCCTATAGGTTGGGGCCCATCAAGATTTGCCTTTGTCAGTTGCTTAGTAGAGTGTATACTATGGTTGATGGGCCCTACATTGAAATCTCACCCTAAGGACTAACATTGTGTTCTTCTACTACTGTGATAAATTTCATGCACCATGTGTTGTGTTGAATATGTTTGACCTGATTGCCACAGGCATCTGTTGATACTGTAACATGTCTGTAACTGTTTTCTCTGTTAAACTCAATAAATATCTATTTGAGAAAAAAAAAAGTATCTGCGGTCTTGCAATGGCCAGCCCCCACCAACAAGAAGGGCATTCAAAGTTTTGGGGATTTCACAAACTTCTATCATAGGTTCATTCCGAACTTTTCTGTGATTGTCGCACCCCTAACCTGGTTTGTCAGTTCTCATTCCTCTTTTTCTTGGTCACCTGAAGCTACATGTGATAAGCTAAAAAGGCACTCTGCTGCTATCTTGGAGCACTCAAATCCTACCTTGCTCTTTGTCCTGGAGGTTGATGCTTCAGAAAATGCACTGAGAGCAATTTTATCACAGCGATCCATTCCTAAGACCATCTTACACCCCATCACCTTCTTCTCTTGAAAAATGAGCCCCACAGAAACTATGACATTGGAGACAGGGAACTGTTTCCCATAAAGGCAGCTTTGGAGAATGGCATTATCTGCTTGAAGGGGCGGCCCATCCCATCCCGATCCTCAGGAATGCCTAATGTCTTAGACCATAGCAAGCTAGATGGGCCCTCTTCCAGGTTGGTTTTCATTTGACCTACCGACCAGGATATAAGAATGGGAAGCACGATGCCTTATCACGGATGCACTTTGAAGTGTCCGTTTCAGTTCCATCCGATACTATTCTCTCCGACAAGAACTTTCTTTTGATTCAACCCTGCCTGCTAAACCAAATCAAGGAAACTTTCCTGACTTATCCTGCTATTTCTAAACTCAATCTCCACCATGCCGATGACCTACTCCTGCATGAGGGCAAAGGGTTTGTTCCAGAAACTCTTCGTATTTCTGTCCTTAGTGCCTGTCATGACACCACACTGGTGGGGCATTTTGGCATCGCCAAGATGCAGGAGTTGTTGCTGAGAACATTTTGGTGGCCCAACCATGTCAAGAATTAGAGCCTTTGTGTTTTTCTGTGCTACTTGTACTCGTGTCAAGAGCTGTAAGGCTATACTGTTGGGTCTCCTTAGACTGACTGCACTCTAGACTGTTGTCTTCTCTCATCCCTTGGCAGCACAATCGTGGGGACCGCGACCTGGTACCAGCAAGCAGCAAAACCCATCTCCACCATCAGGACAAAACTGTCTGGTGCTTAGACTGTGCGCCTTGGGTTAGCCCGTGTCACCTGTCCAGGGGGTGTCGCCCTAACCAGTGCATAGTGCAATTACCATAGTCACTAATTAGACTGCACATGTTTCTGACTTGACTACAGTGATTAGGAGTGTGATTGGTTGCTATGGGTTCCTGCACTTGGCAGGGTCATTACATTTTGACTTCTTTTTCATTAACATGAGCCCAAAAGCACTAATCAGTTATGTAACTCTGAGATTTTGTAAACAAAATGTGAAGTAAAGCTTTAATAATGAACTTCCTACTGGCAAGAGATGAATGATCCATGGCATTTTACTAAGTATACTATAACTTTATTACTTTGATTTATTTTTTAAGCTTGGCTGAAATTGATCTCCAAAGCTTTCTTCCACTGCCAGGTATATAAACAGTGTACACTGACATATTTATTATCTACTCGTGAATATGTTGGTATGGTTGGGATTTACTTTAGGTTCATCTACTATATTTCCTTCTTGAAAAATAAACTCATTCTGCATTATATATGACTAGAATGTAAAAGGCTGATTGAAAACGGCCAACAGTGCAAACTTCTCTTGCAAAGGTGGGATGGAATTTTACTGCATCTAGTGCTTGTTTGTGTCTACTATATATCTGTTAAGCACACAGATTGAAACACTTAAAAGGGTCATCGTGAGATTATGATTAGTAGAGTCTGGGGTTTAAACATAAATCGGATATAGTTTGCAAAATGATTTAGTCATAAATGTGGCATATATTGCACAGACGACTCATTAGCCTTTGTCTCTTGCATTAAATCTGTGAGTTCCCATGACCTAGGTCAAACTTCGATGAGCCTTCAAGTGTATCATGGAGTAGAGTATCATAGAGGCTTCCAAGGTATATAAAGCCATTTGCACAGCTATGTATTATTAATATAATCATTAATAATTGATATTAAAGTATTACTAAAAACTGTGCATTTTTTTACCTTAATGCATTCTCTGCATTAAGGTAAAAAACCTTTTTGTGTCCCCCTTACCGCTTGTCACCACTGCGGGTCCCCGAAGCGATCCTCCGTCCTGAACTTCCTGGTTGCGGGGGAGGATAGCCATAAGCTCCTTCTGCTGCCAGTCATACTGCTAGGTGGAGAGGAGTGGCGTGTGACAGGGCTGTGTGTGTCTGTGGATGTACACAGCTACTGCGGGCATGGCCGGGAATGAACATGCACAGGTGCCTCTACAGCAGCTGCTTAGCTGATGGAGGTCCCCAATGAGGGGGGGGGGAAGCACTTAAGGGACTGAGGAATTGAAGAATTAAACAAAAAAAGTTCTCCATAAATCCGGTCTTTCAGTGATTTAAAAAAAAAACCTGTAAGGTTTAATATCACTTTTAACTACTTTTTCAGGATACTTATACATAAGTCATTGATATAATCCGTAATTTACTTTTTGGGACTAAGGTATGTTGTATTTTTGTAAGTTTTATACAGTACAATTTATTATTAGCTTTGGTCTCTCTTAAAAGTGACCGTGCCCTTTGCCCATGCAGCACAAAGTGAAAGGTTCACTCCTCCTCTGCAGCATATGCAGTAGTCACCTTTTCTTCAGTCCCATGCCACTAAGATTGGCCTCCAGGAGCCAAGTGAAATGCCTGTCACTTTTGAGCATGGGTGAACATATGACCTACTCAGCCTGTCTAATGCCACATTGCTAGGTACCTACTGATTGGTCTAGAACTAAGGCATGGGGCTGAGGAAGGAATTTATAGCCCTACAGGAACTCCAGCAATTGGGTTTCTTTTCCTAGTCCTGGTGGGAAAAAAGGAGCCATGCTGGAACAGGGAAAGAGTGAGAATATGGTGCTTGATATAGGATTAAATGACCATTTTAGTTTGCCTTGCAACACAGCTAATGCACCAAGGAGAGCAAACATTGCTAATTGGTGTGGTGTAGAGCTGATATGTTGGACCGCTGCGCAAACACAACTCCTGCACAAAGAGCAACAATACTTCCATGCCTACTTTTTGGATTTGTGTCTAGCGGGCGGGACATACAGAAGCACTGTAAGGATTGATACATGGCAGTTGAAGCATTTAGAATATTTTAAAGTTGCGTTCAATTGGGCTTCACGATTAAGAACGTATGATATGCAGGTTGTTGTGCTCTCACTATAATATTTACATTTTGCATAATGGTTTGTTTTTCAGACAATGGAGTTGATTTACTAAAGGAAAAAAGGGTGTTCATTGTGCAAGGGAATTTGCACTTTTCAAATGCACTTTAGTGAATGAGGCGAAGCTCTGATAAATTATATCACCCAATTATGTGCAAGCAAAAATACTGTTTTGTTACATTTTCTTTGTTCATGATTGGGTGTTCTTTGCAAAGTGAAATTTCACCACATTCACCAAGCTAAGGGAAGCTTCCCTTGCAAAGTGAATATCCTGTTTGCCTACCCCAACGTATATACATCAATACCTTTTTGTAGGAGTTGACAGACAACATTTGTTTTAATTGATGTTACATTTTTATTGGAACTTTAACAGCGACTAAAACAGAACTATACAATTTGGTACAATGAAATGCACAATATATATTGCTAGACTTTTTTTTTTTTTTTTACTGTGCTTCACATTCTGCCTTCTTCCAACAAAAATATATCTTAAACAGATAAATGCTGCCTTTTTTCTGTGATTGGCTGTCTTAACTGCAGTGATAAACAGTCACGCTAGAGCCAAATACTAGCCATACGTGGCTCAAATTTTAAAATTCAAGCTGTGGTAGCCCTGTTGGCACCACCTAGCTCAACACATTTTGATTACAAAATCAAAGGAGCTGGGTGGAAAGTTTTCAGCTGAACTGTGAGTGCATCCAATCAGATTCAGTCACTGTTTGGGTATTCAGACAGCCGCAGATGCTGACTATCTGCATACAGTGACCAGCAGGTAGAGCTTTCCCCATTTGCGCTGTTTAGCTTGAGTGGGGGGGTCAAGTGATAAAGTTAATTTTACATTGACTATGCACTATTGAAGAGCACAGCTTGAAACAGTAGTATAGTGTGTGGAGTAGAGAATACTTATCCTGGGTGTGATCAGCTATGACTAAGGCCAGGGCTGGCCAGAACACATCAGCATGATGGGTTTTTACTTTGTTTCTGTACTGCTACATTTCCACAGTAGATTTCCTGTTCTGGCTATCTATAGGAAGTGAAGCAGTGCACTGCCTGCAGTGAGCCAGTGGATCTGTTACAGCTGCGATGAGCTGATTGCTACATTGCCTCTTATTAAACCTTCATAAACTGCTGTGAACAGAGAAGACAGGGACAGAGGGAGGAGGAGTCAAACATCTGACTCATTCAGTTGTGACTCCAGTAAACAGAGTCGACATAGTAAAAGTAGTAAATCAAGCAAATATAGAGAGCATACTAAATGTAGTCAGTAAAGTAAATCTAATTGCCCAAGGTAACCCAAGTAGGAATGTACCAACCGTAAAAGGGACAAATAAAAGCAGTAGTGGGGAGCAGGCGGGAAGCAAACATTTGACCAGTAAATGTACAAAAATTAAATGTATGTTCACCAATGCTAGAAGTCTAGTAAATAAAATAGAACTCGAGGAGGACTATGATATAGTAGGAATAGCAGAAACATGGTTAGACAGCACACATGATTGGGCTACTAACATAGAAGGGTACAACCTGTTCAAGAGGGAAAGCCTGGCAAGAAGGGGGGGGGGTGTATATATGCTAAAAATAACCTAATTATTCACATCCGTGACGATATCGCGTCAGCTGGTGGAGATGATGTGGAATCGTTATGGATAGGACTAGATAGAACGAACCCTAACCGTAAACTTATTGTGGGTGTCTGTTATAAACCTCCAAATATAGGGGAGGAGGTGGAGGCCCACCTACAATCGCAAATAGAAACATTGGGGAAAGAGGGTAATGTTGTGGTAATGGGAGACTTCAATTACCCAAATATTAACTGGGAACTTCCAAATCGGCTAAGGCAGCTCGTTTTCTTAATATGTTGCGAGACAATTTCATGGATCAGACGGTTGAGGTCCCGACTAGGAAAAATACAATCCTAGATCTGATCATCACCAATAATACGGAGTTAATTGAGGATGTTGTAATCGGGGAGATACTGGGCAATAGTGATCACAAGGTGATTGCTTTCAATATTGGGTGCAAGAAAAGGAAGGGGGATGGGCGAACGAGAAGCCTAAACTTCAGGAAGGCTAACCTTGATAAAATACTAGGGATGCACAGATACCAAGTACAGTACTCGGTACAAGTACGAGTACATGTACCGATACTTTTGAGCTCCAAGACTAGACTAGAGAAAAATTAAAAAATTAATTGCATTTGGAGGGTTGTGGGCTGCGCTCTGCGGACCCCTCTAGATCCCCTCTTTGTGCGGCCTGCGCGGCTTTGCCTGTCGTCCGTGCGCCCCTCTGGTGCTTCGGGGGGGTGGGTGGTACCGCGGTACTGCATTGTCCCTGGAAGCTTTTTCCTCTGTCATGGATGGTTTTGGGCAACGCATGGCGCGCCTTGACGCAGCGCCCCCCCTAGGAAGCGGGCCCTGCCTTTGCCGTCCCCTGCCTTGTCGGGGGAGTCTGAGGAGGAGGGGGAACTGCCCACGCCATCGCCTCATCCTGATCCGGGTGATTCCTCACACCCTGATTCTGCCAGTGAGGATGAGGCTGCGTCTACGCTCCGGGTCCAGGAACGTGAGACGTTTTCAGCGCTGGTCCGCGCTGTTAGGGAGACCCTTAAAATTAAGGACATTGCCAGCACTTCCGCGCTGCCGCAAGTGCCGTTTGGGACGCATAAGAGTAGGCGTTCCGCCAAGGTGTTTCCTTACATCTCCTCCTTTTTTGCTGAATTCATTTATAAGGGGTGGAAACGGCCTTCCAAGTCCTTCTGCGGTTCCGAAGCGGTTCTCGGTTTGCTACACCTTCGAGGAGGACTTTGTGTCTAAGTGGTCTGTCACCGGGGGTTGTCAGATGCGGTCATGTCCACTATGCTCAGAGCGCACAGGGTGGTTTCTAGAAGAATTTACCATTTTGCCTATTTTGCCTGGTGTGAGGCTGGGGCCCTGTCCCCGCGTTTCTTCATCAGCGGAATCCTTGCGTTCCTGCAGCGCGGGGTGGCTCAGGGTCTGGCCTTGAGTACTGTGAAGGGCCAAATCTCGGCCTTGGCGGTGCTTTTCCAGCGGCCTTTGGCGTCTAATGCTTTGGTTCGCACCTTTATTACCCTACCATTCAGGATCTACGATCTGTTGCCTGTCTCCTTCAATGAACGGAGAGAAAAGGATTTTACGGTGAGTACAAAAATCCTATTTTCAGGACAGTGGTGGAGGGCCAGAGCCAGGTCCCAGCTGCAACCTCTGCAGCCCCAGTAGTTCTCATGAAAATGCCAGGTATCTGCACTGGTACTCGAAAAGTATCTGTGCATCCCTATAAAATACGCAATATAGTGGGTGAAATTGATTGGAAAAACTTATTTGATG